AGGCTTTTATACCAGAACACAGCCGCTGTGAGGAAACCGTGGAGAGCTGTTAACCAATATGCGAATTAGCCTGCAGTACCACTGCTCTACCCATATGAGCAGCAAAAATACATTTTTAGACCAAATATTACAGATTTGAACAAATACGCACAAAAATATCAAAATTAGCACAGAAACAGTACTATATAACATTTTAGACACATTGTAGACAGTTTATCAGCTAAAAAAAGTTAATTTTGGGGTAAGTTACTCTTTAACAAGCACTCACAGACCACCAGACTTGAAACTGCACAACACATCAACACGACCTGGAATGAAAACAATATCAGTCTTTTAACTCACACATTGTTATCGCCTTTTTTCCATCCTAATGAGAAGTTCTGCTTTTTCTGGGTTATGAGTGAAGCGATGTCTGGTTTCAAATGGGAAAGTTTCAGTCTCATGTAGTTCACAGTGATCCGGTTACACTGCTTTGTTTTTAGGCCAACAGGTGTAGAAAACCCCACTTTATAGTTATAGTTGGATGGAAACGACATCAGGAGTTTCATCGCAGTCAGCCAACTTTCTATTCTCTGAAAGTTGTCTTTAGTTTTCCCGTCTGATGCAGTGTCCACAAGGCTGTCCACCTGTTTTGGTGAAAGCTTGGAAGTGACTTGCTTATTCATTTTTATCTCCAAATGGATTTCTGATCCACTCAAAGGTTGTGTAACATGAAACCAGTGGACAACCAGAAGGGTGGTACTGTTTCTGCTACACTGTTTTTACCTGTTGGGGCACCCGACCAGATTTACTAATCCATAATTTTTTCCCCCCAGAGCATTATATCAGGCTGGCCAGGCTTTACATGCCTCCCTCCAGGTTAAGCTTCATGCGTTTACTTTTTTTTTTCATACGTTTACCTCGAGCAGACGTCACCAGTCGAGCATGTGAAAAATACCATTCACAACTATTTTTGACACTCATTATAAAACCTTAGTTCATCAGTTTTTATCATCTAAGGAACATTTCAAAGCTGAGATCTTTTGTGTCACAGAAGGAACTAGAGATGGTTGTTCACACTTTTATTTCTTGTTTAGATTACTGCAACAGTATTTTTACATGTCTAAACAAATCCTCCTTGACTCGGCTTCAGTCTGTGCAGAACGCTGCAGCGAGGTTATTAACAAAGACCCACAGGAGAGCCCACATTACACCTGTTTTAGCCTCTCTGCACTGGCTCCCTCTGACTTTGAGGAGTCATTTTAAAATGTTGGTTTTAACTTTCAGAGCACTTCATGGTCAGGCCCCCAAATACATACTGGACCTTCTGAAGCCTCTCTGTCCATCCAGGACTTTGAGGCCTTCTAATCAAATGCTGCTGGTGGTCCCTCGAACCCATTATAAAACCAGTGGAGACAAAGATTTTCAGGTGGTGGCCCCGAGGCTCTGAAACACTCTCCCTCTGTCCCTTCGCTGCTCAGATTCTACTGACTCTTTAAGAAACATCTTAATACATTTTTATTCAGACAGGCTTTTAGTTAAGTGCTTTTTATTGTGTTTTAATTGTTCTTTATTTTGTGACCTGTTTTTGTTGTTTTTAGTTATTTTTGCTCTCTGTTAAGCACTTTGTGATGTTTGTGTCTGTGAGAGGTGCTATAGAAATAAGTTTACTTACGTATTGAGCAGTGAAGCTAAAAAAAAAGTATTGCAATGCCTCTCAGTGTGCAAAAAACGAGTCATACTCATCTGTATACTCTAGTTCAACATGTTGACTGATCTTACAGAGTCTACAAATGAATAGAATTCAAATCAAATTCAGTCAATTTTACAGATGTGCTAAACTTTACATATTTTCTAGTCTCCTGAAGATAGTAATGAAATAATATTATCTGATTAATGAATGAAAAATTTGATTAATTTGCCTCAAGTTGTCATCTCAGCATTGTTGGCCGTTATTAAAGGTTGAATGCATTTTTAAAATATCATAAATGTAGAGATATGCAAAAGATATATTAGAATGTTTTTAGATGTCGGATTGCAATTTTGTCTTTTATCATTAATCACACCATAATTACAATTTTGTCTCACAGGTGGTGTTCAGATCAACATCTGCAATGGTGTACATCTTCATCCAGATGAGTTGTGAAATGTGGGACTTTGATATATATGGTTGGTTACTAATAGTTTCTGACATAAAACTTGTAAAACCCCATCTTTAGAGGTAGACATCTTAATTCTAATGTTTGGATCTTAGGTGATCTCTACTTTGAAAAGGCTGTAAATGGTTTCCTGTCTGACCTTTTCGCCAAATGGAAGGTTTGTGTCTTTATATTTTAATTTTCACTCATTTTTAACCTCTTTCCAGTCTTGTAACTTGGCAAATTACTTGTTTTCATGACAAGTCATTTCATGACTTATCTGATCCTTAGCAGGTTCAAAAATCAGCTGGTGTCTGAGGACGCTTGGGGAAACATTGTATTATATAAAAGAACTGTCATGGAAATCTTTATTTTACCTGGACAGAAACACGAGATCCAAGAACAAAAAGTACTTTGTGAAAGGTCAATCAGGATTTATTGCAATATGCAAGACACACATCATGTCACACAGGCAGTGGTACAGAATGTGTGCACTGAGGCAGTTTCAAATACACACATCTATACAGTATGTTATCCAAACAGACAATAAATATCTCTCTTGGTATCGAAGCTGGGCCAAGGAGAGAATGATGTTTGATAAACAGCAACAAGAATTATTCCTCCTAAACAGATATTGTCTTGATATTAAAACACTTTGTCCGAGAGAAAACAGAAGATAACAAGTAAAATTATAAAACACGACATTTTAAGGTAAGCAAAAGAGATCACTGACTCTTGGCCTGAGAAGAAATGTGAGGCTTTTAAGGATAATTTATTTTTCCAGGACAGAACAAATATTACCTTTTACCTTACTTTTATTGGTGGTCCGAGTTACCATGGCAAGTAAGACAACAAAGACCTCAGAATCCTTGTTTGTGAATGGTCTTTGAAATATGTCATGAACTGCTCAACATAACCCAAATAAAGTTAAGAGTTGATTCAGTTTTTTTTTTTGTTTGTTTTGTTTTGTTTTGAAACGAAGCAGGGTCAGTGAGCCACTGCAGGATAAATCAACAGATTACTTGGGGAATATTAAAGACAACACAGAACAACAACTTTGTAGTTAGTTTAAAGAATATTGAGCCACAGGATCACTAAAATTAGTTAATTCAGTTTATTTTATTTTAATTTTTTTATTTTAGTATTTTTTTATACGAAGATGTCAGTGTGCGACCACAGGATTAGTTAACAGATTTATTGCTGAGGGGATATTAAAGATGACACAGAATAACAACTGTTTAGACATTTTAAAAAATATTCAACCACAGGATCTCTAAGATGAGTTAATTAACTTTATTTTGCTTGATATGAAACAGACCCCAGTCACACAATAAATACATTGAGGTCCATTCAGCCGATCTGAGATCTGCTCCACGCCTCTTTTGGTTCCACACTGCTGGGTTCATTTCTGTACATGTGAGCAGACTCTGGCCAGTTTCTCCTGGGATTTATAAATGACGCGGGGGAGCTCACAGCCGGTCCGGTCTGTGCAGTGATTTAGCTGAATTGTCTTGTGAAAGAGGATTATGTTGAGCCACTGGCATTGTATTTAACAATTCATTTGTTCTCGGTTCTCTTGACACTTCTTATACAGTTCAGACATCAAAACTTAGACATTTATTTCTGACAGCATTATTACAAAGTTCTGTTGGAGTTATAACATTTTTTTAACAGGAGAAGAACTGCAGTCATGAGGTGACGGTTGTGCTGTTTTCTCGCACATTCTACAACGCTAAAAGTTTAGGTGAGTCTAATTTCTTTTAACAGAGAGGAATGACATATTGATTGTCCAGCAATGTAAAAAAAAAAAAGAAGACAAGCAGTGTCTATTACTTGTTTCTTTAGAGGAGTTTCCAGAGATTCTAAGAGGGTCCATTAAACAGAATCATGAAGACCGCTTTTATGAAGACTTCTACAGGTAAATATTTCTACAAAATGAACAGCTGGATGGTGATGGCCTTAGGAAATACAGGTCCTTCTCAAAAAATTAGCATATTGTGATAAAGTTCATTATTTTCTGTAATGTACTGATAAACATTCAACTTTCATATATTTTAGATTCATTGAACACCAACTGAAGTAGTTCAAGCCTTTTCTTGTTTTAATATTGATGATTTTGCCAAAAAAGTAAAGAGAAACCAAAAATCCCTATCTCAAAAAATTAGCATATCATGAAAAAGTTCTCTAAATGACTTATTAACCTAATCATCTGAATCAACAAATTAACTCTAAACACCTGCAAAAGATTCCTGAGGCTTTTAAAAACTCCCAGCTTGGTTCATTACTCAAAACCACAATCATGGGTBAGACTGCTGACCTGACTGCTGTCCAGAAGGCCGTCACTGACACCCTCAAGCAAGAGGGTAAGACACAGAAAGACATTTCTGAACCAATAGGCTGTTCCCAGTGTGCTGTATCAAGGCACCTCAGTGGGA